AAAAAAAAAAAAAAAAAAAGTTCCTTACCTTCAGCTGAAACCAATATTGAGCTGTGATTGAGCAGGTCAGATGTTGTGGGGTACAGAACTGACGCCTTGTTGAGAGGAACTGATGTCTGTGCTGAGGCCTGATGGAGCAGGGAGCGGCAGAAGCAGCTTTTCCGTAAAGTTCTAGAGGTTGGAACGTCAAGCAGTCTGGATTAGTAGGGCTTAGGGCTGCGAGATCAATAGCCTTGACTGCTTATTGTGAGTCAGGCTCTTGGAAACCTGTGTGAAAGGATGCACTATATATTATAGGGGAGGAGCCTGGGCTCGGGGGCGATCCCAACCTAGGCCAGCCACCCTGCTGCAGAGTTCTGGCTCATAACTGCTAAGATAGACTTCCCTGCTTCCCTCCTTTCCAGCTCCCATCTTTAGAGACCCCTTTTGACTTGGCAGTGTAGTTGTTATGTGGAGTCAGACTCCCTGAGTTCACTTCTTTGTTCTCAGAAAACCCAGCCCGGCTTCCAGACACCCACTGTCTCGGTGTACTCAAAGCTGGCCTTGAACTCAATCTCCTGCCTCCAAGTTCCTAAGTGCTGGGGTTATAGGTATATACCACCATGTCCTCCCTGCTTGTGTATATGTGGGATTATATACATGTTTGTGTGTGTTCATGTATAATCACAGCCCTCAGGAGGTAGAGGCAGCAGGAGGATCCATGTTCAAGGTCATCCTCAACTACATAAGATCCCATCCTAAAAATTTTTTTTAACCAAAATGGGGTGAGGGGGTCCTTAATTGGGTACCCCTTGGCAATGGAGAAACCTTGACGTAGGGCCTGCAGAATGGTGACCAGAAAATGAAGTAGTGCTGAGTGTCTAATCCTGGCCACTTGAGACGCTGAGGCAGGAGGAGTCTGGCTACAGAATAAGACCTTGTCACCAAAAAAAGAAAAAGACAAAGTAAAGAGGAGTTCAGGACACAGCCAGTGTCAGGCTGGAGGCTCTCATTCTGCAGTGATGGGGAAGGAGGAGGAGGGACTGTGAGGGTAAGATGTTCCCTTAGCAGGCTCTCCCACTGACTCTGGAAAGTTCCAGCTAGCCTGTTCTTAGTAATATGGAATGAGTAAACTCAACCTGTTTAATTAGGGAAGGAACAGCTTGGGTCCTCAGAGAATGCATTTTTTGTTGTTTTGAAAACAGTGTTCTTCAGGCTACTTCAAACTTGGGGCAACCCTCTTGTGTCAGGGTGCAGCCTTATTTTATCTATTTATTTCCTCCCCCCCCACTAGAGTTACAGACAGTTGGGAGCTTCCATGTGAGTGCTGGGAATTGAACCTGAGTCCTTGGGAAGAGCAGCCATCTCTCCAGCCTGCCTTATTTTATTTATTACTGTGTGTGGGATTCTTGCATGGGTTGGGGTGGGCTGTGTGTGCTGTGGCACCTGTGTAGAGGTCAGAGGACAACTTTCACAGTCTCTGTTCTCTTTTTGGGTACATCTCAGGATCTCACAGAACTCAGGCTGTCTGTCGGTTTGCATTAGCCATCAAGGGTTTTACCCAATGAGTTATCCTGAAGGCCCCTAGAAACCTTTTTTTTTAGTTTTGTTTTTTTTTTGTTGTTGTTGTTTTGTTTTTTTGTTTTTTATTTATTATGTATACAGTGTTCTGCCTGCATGTATGCCTGTAGGCCAGAAGAGGGCGCCAGATCTCATTACAGATGGTTGTGAGCCACCATGTGGTTGCTGGGAATTGAACTCAGGACCTGGAAGAGCAGCCAGTGCTCTCAACTGCTGAGCCATCTCTCCAGCCCCGGTTTTGGTTTTTTTAGAGACAGGCTTTCTCTGTGTAGCCCTGGGTGTCCTGTAACTCTTTCTGTAGACTAGGTTGGACTTGAATTCACAGAGATACGCCCCTGCCTCTGCCTCCTGAGTCTAGGATTAAAGGCGTGAGCCACCACTGCCCAGTTA